AAAAAAAAACATACATATACACCCACACACACACACACACACACACACACACACACAGACTATAATGCCAAATGTGTTGGAACACCTCTCCAAATCATTGGATTCAGGTGTTCCATAAAATGTCCTTGCTACTAAATATCCCACGGTCAACTGTTAGTGGTATTATAACACAGTGAGAAACTACTAGGAACAACAGCAACTCAGCCATGAAGTGGCAGGCCACGTAAAATGACAGAGCGGGGTCAGCGCATGATGAAGTGCACATAAGTCGCCAACTGTCTGCAGAATCAATATCTACAGACCTCCAAACTTCGTGGGGCCTTCAGATTGGCACAACAACAGTGCGTAGAGAGCTTCATGGAATGGGTTTCCATGGCCGAGCAGCTGCATCCAAACCTTACATCACCAAGTGCAATGCCAACCATCGGATGCAGTGGTGTAAAGCACGCCGCCACTGGACTCTAGATAAGTGGAGACGTGTTCTCTGGAGTGATGAATCACGCTTTTCTGTTTGGCATTCCGATGGACTTGTCTAGGTTTGGCGGTTGCCAGGAAAACGGTACCTGCCTGACTGCATTGTGCCAAGTGTAAAGTTTAGTGGAGGGGGATTATGATGTGGGGATGTTTTTCAGAGGTTGGGCTTGGCCCCTTTGTTCCAGTGATGGGAACTCTTAAGGCATCAGCATACCAAGACATTTTGAACAATTTCATGCTTCCAACTTTGTGGCAACAGTTTGGGGATGGCTCCTTCCAGTTCCAAGATGACTGCGCACCAGTGCACAAAGCAAGGTCCATAAAGACATGGATGAGCGAGTTTGGGGTGGAGGAACTTGACTGGCCTGCACAGTGCCATGACCTCAACCCGATAGAAAACCTTTGGGATGAATTAGAGCCGAGACTACGAACCAGGCCTTCTCATCCAACACATGCGCTTCTGGAAGAATGGTCAAACATTCCCATAGACACACTCCTAAACCTTTTGGACAGCCTTCCCAGAATAGTTGAAGCTGTTATAACTGCAAAGGGTGGGCCAACTCAATATTGAACCCTACGGGCTAAGACTGGGATGCCATTAAAGTTCATGTGCGTGTAAAGGCAGGTGTCCCAATACTTTTGGCAGTATAGTGTATATACAGTATATTGAATATATATCGTATATCTTTGCAATACATGCACATTTCCCCTTGTTTTTCCCCTTTAACACACTGCAAGTACAGGAAAATGACTGTTGAGGTGCCAGAACAATAGTGTGCTCTTACCTTCCCCTTTGACCTAACAACATGGTGCCAGCCCTGTCTACTTTATTTCAATAGATTACAAAGAACATCTTCTCATTTCCTCCCCTCCTTGCCTCCATGACCCCTCACTGAGCAAAGGCAGAAAACACAGGAAGTAGACAGGGCTGACACCACATGCTTAGGAATTCTGAGCTGTGTTGTCATGTCAAAGAGGCAGGTCGGAGCATACTGTATTTCTGGCATGTCAACAGTTATTTTTCTGTACTTGTAGTGTGTTAAAAGGGATGAACCATGGGGAAATGTGCATGTATTCCAGAGATGTACAGTTTTTTTGTGCCTTGATATATGCTTTAACAGAACAAAGGGGAGCAGATAAATAAATTAAAATACATTAAAAAAATAAATACACTAAAATAAATTGTTAATGTTTATAAACGCTTTCATTGGACTTTAATAAACAGTGGATTTTCTGTCTCTCTGGATGACATTCTGGATGACTCCCAACTACAGTTATTTGTCCTGCCCTACTGGGGAGGAATAAAGATCACTCCTTTTTTGAAGAAAAAAAGAGGACCATGCAACACTAGATATTTGACCCCAGGCTAAGGATTAGTCACTCATAGTGTAATCAATACCATGTTACTTTCAAATATTGCACAGTGTTTATCAAGTGTCTATCAAGCAAACATCTCTAGGTAAGGCCATGGCAACATTGCTTACCCCTAAAATAATCACGACTGGACATTGTGGATACTTTTTGAAAGTCTTTGTAATAGTGCATGGGGTGGGGGGTTAATGATATGACCCTGAAGTTCAGGGTCATCTTAAGATTTGTTTTCCCTCTAATGATAAGATAAATTGTTAGCTCATGTTGGACATAAGTATCCCTTTAGGGCTAAACTACATGGACTTTTGACCTCATAAAGACAATCCTTTTCTTGTTAGATTAAGGCTTTTTATGATAGTTTTTTGGTCTAGTGTGCAGTACTGCTGGCCACACTCCCCTTTCCTGCAGTTCCTGATCCAACACTAGTTGCACTTCGACTGACTCAAGTGGATGCCCCATTCAGCGACCTATTGGCCAGGCTTCTCATTGGTCACAGTCTCCTCTATTCTGTCAGTATGGCCACAGCTCTACCTTTAAGCATCCTGCTGCCAGGCATCATTGCCTCTGCATTGTCCTTCCGTATATAGTGATTGGTCCATTTATCATCAGAGCCTGATTTAAACATCACTGGCCCTGTGCTGACACTTTCTATAGGCTTAAATATGTTACTGACTAGCTACCATTACCTGAATCTGACTATCTGTGTACCAAACCTTTTCCTGTTTAACAACCTCATTTCTGCCTGCTACCTGGACTGACCTTTTACTGACCATGTTTCTCCTGGCTGACGGACTGACTTTTTTACCAACCTGACTTTGCCTGTTTACCAACCACATCTCCACCTGCAGTCTGAATTGACCCTTTACCTGTTTATCGACTGTGTCTGTGCAAGCTGCCTGCTCCATTCTCTCTGCTCATCTTTCTAGTTACACTCCTGCAAAGATACCATCCCTGCCCTCCTCTGTGGACATCTGTTTACTCCTATGCCTCAGAGATTTTTTATCTTACCTTTGCTCTGACACCTGGCCAGTGAACATAGTGCTGTGTATAAGTCTAGTGGTCAACCATGTACTGGTAGGCCTGCTTGCCTTAAGGTAAGCTATATTCCCTGACCACTCATGCAGGTGCGAGTATTATAGCTGCACAATAGATTTTCAGTCATTTTGAATTAATTCTTTCAGTAGCACATTGCTGCAATCTAAAGAACTTTACAGATGCAATTTCGCAAACACTGACATCAGACTCAAGACCAACAGTAAATACACAGATGAAATACATATATGAGAGCTATTTTACCTATGTATTTGTGTTCATCAAGTCTTAAAAATGTATACAGCTCTGAC